AAGAAACCAAGGATTCTTGTGGAGGAGTCGAAGTCCAAGCGCAACTTGGTCAGGTGTTTGTCTCTGCAGAATCTGCCTTGCTATGCTTGCCTGGCCCGTAGACCACAGCAGGAAATCGAGAGTTCGGGAGCCAGAAGGATTCGGCAAGACTTATGTACAGTACCTGGGAACACATGTCTACAATCTGTGCGGCGGAACATGAGGTACAAATGTACACCTACAGGTGCAACTAACCGGCGACTCCCCGGGAGGGCCACACAGAGGCCTAAACAACCACTGTCGCTGGTAGGACTTGGAGGACGACGAGGTGTTCCAGGACCAACGGCATGATAACCCACGCCTTTTAAGTCCAGAGCCAGAGAAAGTTGACAAGCTGAGCAGTAGAAGGACCGAGCGGACCAGAGTTTGTATGCGTCGTGGTGGCGAGCAGCTCGCAACACGACCTACTTTTCTTTGCTTGAAGACCTTGGGATACATCACTCTATGTGATGATCCTGGTGGTAAACTCTCCACGCGGGGCAAATGTGATGAGCCCATGGTGATAGATCATGGCAAAGTCATGGCTTCACAAGACCAGGATTAGTACGAGGAGGGAAGAACAAAGCTCATATACATATTCTCTTTCTGTCTTTCTGTCTCTCTTGATCGCCCTCAGGTTATTGACCTAGGACAGCAGTAACCACCTATCGCTGATTTCCGCTTGGTGTTGAAGGCCGCCTGAGGAAGCCGTGGGTCAGAGATAGCTTGGGGATTTGCCTGCCATCAATGATCTCGACTAGAAAAAATGGGAATAGGTGGTACAGAACATGAGAAGCAGTGTGTTGAGACAATACATGTACAAGTTCATCCACTCATTTGATCGAGTAGACCACCGCAAGACCTTGACACCATGCCTTTCATGCGCGCTTTCTCTGCCCATGTCGGATTCAGAGAGGATAGACCCGCCTGTAAGTGGCTGACAGCACATCCCTTCCTGCCACTTGGGAACGTACTTTTGGTCACGTCGCCGTGTGCATGAAGAGGGGCAATTTAGCCTTTTTGGCACGCATTCTGCGTGCACTAGGTCGAAATGGTCGAATGACTAAGTTCAGTGGTGCGTGTAGCAATAGGTGGGCGTCGATCCGTCGCAGAACCCCGGATATCGGCTCTGAAACTTTGGACGCATGGGCGGTCAGTGTACCCAAGGTACCCTACCGAGCCTGACAAGCCTGGCCATGTGAGTTGTCCGCCTTGGCCCTTTCGTAGCCATCCTCCAAGACTGCAGAGAGTAATTCCTTTCAGGCCACTGATGCGAATGTGCTGACTCTCTTGAGATTGACTCGACGTCACTACGTGCAGAGGAAGCCGGGGGGTCGCAATTGGCCAATACCAGTCTGTCCAGGTCCTTCCTCAAACATATTATGATAGACAGCATTGGGGGATTCGCAAACCAGGAGGCTGAGCATGAGCATGTACTGTAGCATCGATGCAAAGGGTACACGAGCCTGGTGAATAGTTGATTTGTAAGATACGGGCACCATTTCCGCATACTCTCTGGCAGCGGAAGAGACTGCATACGTCGTCTAACAGGTTCTCAACCAATTTCGAGGAGTGCCAATTTTAGAGATGCAGACGTCGTCTGCTAAAGCGGGTGATGATCCTACCAGGACCTCGTTGCTCTTGTGGAACAACGGTTCGGAGCGCCTATCATTGACATGAAACAATTGGTTCACGAAAATCGAGATGGGGTGGAAATCTCGAAATGTTTTGTTGACGTCGGAGACAGCAGAAACGGGCCAGGTTTCGTTAGCCTTGTTTTCAGCGCCCCCGGTTCTGCCCTTAGAACGTAGGATATCAGCGCCGTTGAGCGCCATGTCACTATACAAAGATTAGTCAGGCTGGATAATGAATATCCGATAATGTGTTTGATGCAGATTTTTGGCAGATTGTTTTACCTATAACCCGGAAGTTTATTAGGTAGACCGTGTCGGATTGGGCGACATGGACGATGGGGAAAGGCATGGTTGCACCCTGTGTGCTATTCCGAGGTTTGGTCGGTGGCTCGAAAATCGACCGGGATTCTCCAGAGCAAAAAGCTCCAGAAGGGGGCTAGTGAACAAGGGAAACAATGTGGCGATAATGGTTGGGACCTTGTCTGCTTGTTTACTGGATCACATCAAGTCAGTGCTAGTGGTGCCTGTGCACGGAGAGTGGTTGGTAACTTGGCCCCCTCGTGGCAATCAAGGGAGCCAACTCACCAGACGTTGAACCATCAGGCAGGGAACAAGCGGGAGGCACATAGTGCTTATATCGAATAGAGTGCTGACCAGTGCTATCCTTGGGCACCTTGGGACAGAACCCCAGTACCCCTTGGATTAATTGGGCCATCAGGTCCGTATTCGTTCACCGGAAGTGCGAGTCCTGGCAATCCAGAGATCGGCGGTGCGGATCCGCACTAGGAAAAAGCAGCAAGCTTTCCTACCAGACCTGGATTTGGACGTTCTGGAAGTGTGAAGGAAAAAACCAAAGAAATTCCATGCTTGCGGATGACTCGGCGCCTGCAGAAGTTTACCATGACTAAGTGTGGTGTAAAGTTGTAAGCCTCCTGAGATACGAGGTATTCGCAACGGGCACCAGGAACTGAGCAGGCTGAAAGTTCCGAGTAGAGTTCCGAGTACCTCGTAGAATACTTACCTCGTATTCATTACCATGTAACCGATCAATACCAATTACAGACTTCGGTGAGCACAAGGCTAGAGAACGATTTTAGAGGTTGGTTGCCCGTCGGGCGAAGGAGCGGGGCGCTAACCGCATATGAATTTTGACCTTGGAGATGGCAGTGGTGGCAGGGCCTATCGCTGACCGACTCGTGTTTTTGTGAAACTCATGGCTTGCTAGGGATATGTCATGAATGGGATGGCACGAGCTGGCACGAGTTGGATCGTCCTTTCTTCTTAGCAACTCTGTGGGTTTCCAACAACCTGGGTCTAAGATGACCGCGCGTTGAATTGTTCGGCCCATTCTCCGATGACCAAGGGTAGAAAGAGCATCAATAATCAGCCACAGGAGCTTGTGATGGACTACCTCGGAATCGTAGAAGCCAGTTGAGAAACCTGCACTTTGCGAGGTGTGTTTGTGTCAATAACAGCAGCGTCGGTGGTAGTCGCAGTCGACGCCGTGTTAGTCAGTCCGTGTCAGGGCCGTTTTACTTGTATATGGTTGGTTCGTTCATTGAAAGTTGGCGGTGGTTAGCGTTTTGGAGAAGAAGAAACTCTCTCTTTAGGTTTGGATTTTCGTCTTGAAGCACACACCACCACCACCCAGATACTCCTTCCACCACCTTCCTTTTTTTGACATAGTGCGAGTTTGATAATAGCGTAGTGCTTGTACTCTCGGTACCGCGTGGATTGTCAGAGTCGTCATGGGCTTGTACCTTACACATCTCCCAATACTATCTCCCCTGGTAAGGTACGTACTCATACAGACCTACTGGTAGATGCCTTCTAGTAGTAATTAATGATGGCTTCTCGCAATAAATCCCATTCCAAGTAAGAATCTTGCTCTCTTTGTCCGTTTCTATTGGGCACACACTTGACTAGTGACGCTAACTACACTAGCTCCACTAGCGTCACTCCCCGCTAATCCATCGCATGTCATTTGAACCCGATCTACCCCCTTCTCTAGTGTTTCTCACTTGCCCTGACGCCTGGTTATCCCCGTAATCACCACCTGCGAGTTCCTCACCTCCTTGTACTTGGACTAACTCGTACTACTTACTGCTCTAGCGCTTCTCTTACGACTATTCATCATGCTCCCTCCCAAAAAGCTTGGTCAAAGCGGCAGGCAATTTGTCAAAAACCGGTCAATCGCGTCAAGTGTTCACGCTCCTCTACCCTTTGACGCTTTGGGGAGGTGTATTGCTCGGCGCGGCTGCATCTTGCGACACGGCTCGGCCTTCCCTCAGATCCTCATCATCAATCCCTGCTCACGCTACTCCATTTCCTCCCACCTCCCCTGCGTTGTTGGCCTGGTGCCCGGCCGGGAGGTTGCGTGTTCGCTGTGGCTTCGGCTCTGTCAACCCAGCTCCAGTATTGGCTGCTTCATCGTTTGACTGGTCCATTACCTTCTGCCCCTTCTAGTCCAACTAAAAGAGCCGTTCTGGAGACGAGAGAAGACGAAGGGATAGAGATTTAGGCAAGAGAGGGCACAACCACCAGACCGAGCGAACTCGTCATCCCACCACAGCCCTGCGTCGTCTATCATCCACACTCAACCCCGACCTCCCACTACTCGTTGCCCTAAGCTTCAGCGAACCCACACCAACTTCGCCCCCCCGGGCGCTCTGAACTCATACTCGAGAAAGAAAAATTTGGCATCCGCTTGTATTGTCTGCTGTTCCGGAAAGAGAAGTAACTCAGCATCAGATGGTACTTTCCCTTCCCAGCGCACGCATTTTGGCTAGTATCATCCTAACTGCTCATCCGCCATCCCGCAGAGTTTTTGACCCTGGTCTGTTCTATCCAGACTTGTTTGGTCTGCTTGCCCCGTCAATCGGCCTCGTATGACGCTAAGCTAGACCTTGCCTCCCCATGCCCGCCTGTGTATGAAAAAATATCCTAGCTCTCCAGACACCGGACAGGGGGTGGCACTTTTGCTGACGGACCTATCTCCAATTCTGATTCTGATCTCGTGAGGAGAAAGCCATTCAAAGTCCCTCATTGCCCTACGAGGCTTTGATCATGAAGTCAACTTGATTCTTTGACTGTTTCTCTGCCCTCCCAATCCTCGCAACTCTCCGATCTAATCTCCTGTCACCTCACGCTCACAACATGCCTTCCGAAGTCGAACAGAAACCAAAATCCAAGCATCGCAAGTCGACATGCGCTGGATGCCGTAGAAGAAAGGTAGTCAACGTCCAACCCTCCTCCCCTCTTGTTCTATCTTAAGCCCGTCAGAAGAGGGGACAAGCGCTGGCCCCAAGAAGCATTTTCGCATAAGGTGCTAATTTGTCAAAAGTCGAAATGCGACGGGAAAACACCCAAATGCACCACGTGAGTTATCCCCCAAGGCTCAATACATATTGCGTCGTGCAACCATTCTGAGACGGTTGTTGTAGGTGTATCGCATACAAGGACGACTGTCACTACGACAAACCACCCTCACTCGCCTACGTGCGATCTTTAGAGGAGGAAATCCAAGAACTAAAAGCGCAACTGCGACAGGCCAAGACTCAAGTTTGGCTAAGTAGGGTATGAAATAGCCCCTTCATTGTACTTTTGCCACCAGAGGTAACTCACGAATACGGCCAGGCTGGGTCTCACGATGACAAGAAGCTGCCCTCAGCATCACCCGCCAGCGAAACAGCCGGGTCTCAAAGTTCAGGTCAAGCATTGGCGCATCGAAATCGACATGTCAAGTGGGAAACCGACATTAGTGTGGACGAAAGCGGAAGTGTAGCATTCCACAACTCGACGTCTCCCATTCATGAACCACCCTCAAGTCAGCGCCATCATCCGCCGATAGCAGCCCAACTCAGTTACAATGGGAATATCCACGAAGACCAGCGTGTGAAACGCGACCTGATCTACAATGCCACTCACCAGAGACAGATGGAACCGTACGCAATAGCGAATGGTGCCCTAAAGACCAATATACCGAAGGAAATTTCCCACGAGCTACTCAAGTATCACTGGTGTTGGCAGCATCCGTTGTTTCTGTTTGTGTACAGGCCAGCATTTACGAGATGCATGGCCATGGCGGATCTGAATACTCCAAGCGGCCCGGATCCGCCCTACTTTTCAGAATCCTTGCTAAAGGTATGGCAAAACTTCTACAGATATTTGAGGATCGAACAATGTGTTGATTGTAATCTAGGTCGTCCACGCTCATTCTGCCAGGTTCCTGAACCATGACGTCTATCAGGAACAATACCATAGTGTACTGAGCCGGCACAGCCCCGCGGGAAGTTCGATGAGCGCCGGAGAGTTTATGCAGAAAATGACAGACGAAGCGCGATTTGGCTTGGGCATGGATATGCTGAAAAACAGCTCTATCCCAACCATTCAAGCCCTCCTGCAACAGTCTGCGAGAGAAGTTGTGTTTGGGAGATCTTCCCAAGCATGGACCTTTTCAGGAGTCGCCTTCCGTATGGCTTTGGACATGGGTATCCATCTCCCCAGCGACAAACTCCAGACATTCGTGAAGAGCCTAACGGCCGAAGACATCGAAATTCGAAAGCGACTGTTCTGGAGCTGCTATACCTGGGATAAAATACTGTCCCTGTATCTGGGCCGCATGCCTGGTTTCACGCCCAACACCGACGAAGTGCCCCTTACATTTATGGACGACTATAGTGATAGTGACCTGTGGGCGCCATACTACGGAGAGACGCCAACGCCTGAACTCGCAAACGCCCCCAATTACCCTCCATGTCCTGGCTATGTGGTCTCATGTTTCCGCCAGCTGTGCAAAATCTGCGTGATTCTCAACGATTTGATGCAGAATATATATTCCTCGGAGGCAGCCGCTCGTCGTGAGGTGGAAGAGGAAGATCATTCGGCAGAGGCCAAAGCAGCCAGCGAGGCACCTTTCGTGAGAATCTCGCGCGACCTACGAGACTGGCTCATTTCCCTACCACCTCATCTGCGAATCAATCCCGACCAAATGCCATCTCTAGCACCACCAGTGCACATCATGTCTCTGAATCTACTTTACCATACGACAGTGATCCTTCTACATCGGCCAGTTGTGCTTGGAGCACGAGACATGAGCGCGCCAGGCCCCGTGCGGTCGTGGCAAATGTGCATACAGGCAACAGGTGCCATACACGATCTCATCATGCTACAAGCAAATACTTTTGGACTTAACCACGTTTCATATCTCAATACCTACAGTGTTTACATTGCCGCAACCATAGCCGTGCTGCGCTTCGAGAGGGAATACCAACCAGGCGAGGATCCAGCGGTGGCTGCACAAAAGAATGGCCTGAGCTTCCTTCTAGACGTTCTACAAAAGACGTCGAGTACCATGCCCGCCTTGGAACGCAGCAATGCCATTATCCGGAAGCGGATGAAGGCTGCCCTGGACCGCCAAAAGGCTCAGCAAGGTCAGGTCAGGAGGACTTACTCGAACGGATCAACACCGCCCAACGCGAAATTCAGCATTCCGACCCCGACCAGCCATCAAATGGATCTCGCACAGCCGACCGCATTTCAGGCACTTTCAAATCCGGCTCTAGTGCACGGAGCTTACTCACAACCAGACACCCCGGGCTCAATCGTCGCACCCATGCAATGGCAGTCTGGGATGAGAAGCAGCCTCTATTCCGAACCCGCTCACGGATCAGAAGACTTCTTGCCAGCCTTTCCCGGACAACAGTTCCCGGTAGGCTCCGAACACAGCTTTGGTAGCAACGAGGTCGATCCACATGCAAGGACGGCACTTCTTGGCTACAATCTCGACCCCCATCCGAGGTTAAGCTCGGGAGATATCGATTGGAACTTTATGGATTCTTTTGAGGGTCAGTCGGTCCATATGTGACTAGCCGACCAACGTCCAATGATCCGACACGATCTCCCGACTGAGTCTTACGCAGAGTGGACCGACTACTGAGGAAACAAGGTCTTGAGCGTTTCTTACTTGGACAATTCTTTCCGGTGAATACACCTTGAACCGACAATCCGGCCACTCTCGCATCACGCAAATGGGCAATGGCAGGTGACGACGAGACGAAGTATGTAATTTTGAACATGACGACCAGTTCTTTTGGCGGGTTCTAGACGGGTGCTGGGAAATGCACGGAGAGGAATGGGCGCGAGGGGAAAAGTACATGCTATCCCTGCTACCATTCAAGAGTCCGTCCGTCTACAGCACAATAAGATGGGAGGGCTACAGGTCGCAATTTACGAAGGGCAGGGCACACTCATGAAGGCTTGAATTGGGTTTGGCATTACTTTGCACTGACGGTCGTTTCTGTCATGATCTCCTGGGAAACTGGTCTTGATTTTGGTGAGTGGTTTGTTGTCAGCACCCACACAGCATATACACAGTACATACATAGATTCCATTAATTTTTACGTCTCTGCGCTTCCAGAAGATCGGGACAGTGCGGCAAGAGCTGCCAGGCAACTACACGTGACGCCATCCTGCGCTATTCTCCCACTCCTTTTAGTCTCATTTTTTCACCACAACCAGTCTTCATCCTTCACATTTTGAAGACGGATGTCCTTGCATTGTTGCATGAACGTCCACCGCTCTCCGCCGTTTACTCTGTCGCTCGCCTGCGTTCGAGAACGATGATGGACGAGACGAAGCCGCGCCTCATCCCGTGTTCCATGGTGCAAACTGAGTGTACGGCGATAGGCTTCTAATTTTAGGACGGACTGGACATTACCTACTGTAGACACGAGGTTGAGATGAGCTTTGCACGCATGCACAACCAACTCGCGGTCTCTTTTCTGATGCCGTCTTGGTAGGGTTGAGCTAATGCTGACCAGGGTCTACATTCTCCCTACCTACCTACCCGGTCAAGCTAAGCAGCTCCTTTGCCGATGTGGAGATAGAATTTGATCGTGGAGGAAGAAAGAAGGTTCAATGGGTGCAGAAGAGGAAGTATAGCGCGCTGCAATGAGGGTGGCCAAGTGGAGATTGTCGGACCATTCAGCCTCGTGGAGCAAGGCTTGCCTTGGCAGGAGAGGGACTGCTTGACCATGTTGAGGAGTATCGCCCGCCGGTGTGGTCGCCTTACTTTAGGTCGTGCAGGGCAAAGTTTACGACCATGTGGCGATCTCTCAAAGACGGCGCGGCATGATCGATTTTCCTGGTTACGATATTTGCCACTGTTCCACGAGCGGAGTAGGTACGGCACGAGGGACGACAGGTGCTCAAGGTCGGGAAGATACTACAGGGTGTGGGATGCCTCTCCTTCCCGTCGGAAAGCGTTGGAGAGATGGCGGAAAAGGTGACCCTCAAGCACAGCCCCGAAGAGACGACGCACACAGAAGCTTTTGACGGGGCCCTCAGCATTCTGGCAATAGGTAAGCAAACACGATGGCATTTGACGTTCTAGTACGTGGCAAACCTTTGGTGAGAGAAAATGCCAGAAGTGATGGAACAAGGTAAAAGGTCACACTTGCCCATGGACAAAGTCACTGACAAGGCTCTCAAGTTTGTGCTAGCTATATTCATGCACATTGTATGTACAGTCCACGAGTGGGTGTGCTCATCACGCCTATATATGGCAACCTTTTTCAAACGGTGGGTTGCGGGCCGCACCCCTTTGTCCTGCAGGTAATGTGTTCCGATACATTGGCACATATGGTGATTGGGCGGGACAAGGTTTGAGAGCGATGTTGCCCAGTCATGGCGCGAGGTTGCGCTCTAGCCAACTAGTGACAACAACGGCATTACAGTTTCTTGCAGATGCAGATGGACGGCGCGAGTAGAACAGCAGGGGGAAAGGGGAAGAGGAGAAGAGAGGGGATGACACACATACCTACTGTACCGAGGCACAGTACGAGGTATTACTGGACTATTTCACTGGAGTGTGGGAGGATTCGTGGTTATCATTATTATTAGCAACAAAACAAAACGCCATAAGCAGTGGAGGACGGGGAGACGGGCAGACTACGGTACGGGTAGCAATCCTCACGGCCATTGACCGGACCAAAGAGGTGACAAGTGAGGACTGGGGGGATGACAGGGAGGAGGGGAGCTCCAGTTCAGGTATAGCGATGGACGATGAGGATGGCAATCATCGGTACTGTAGGTAGGTACGAGTATGGGTGGAAGGCATACGAGCATGACTGTGTTTATCATGAGAGAAGAGGTAGCACCAGTGGCCAGAGGGTGTTGTGGGTGTAAATGTTCTGCCCAGGTAAGTACGAGGTGCACCGTACGTCGATACATACCGAGTACACTAATGAGATGCCTACCTACGAGTAGCGACCCGGCATAATTTGTGATGGTATGCCGAGTATTCGAAAGATGCCGTCTTTGTATCTGCATTCTGCATGGACATTATGGATAGGTAGTACTGAAGGTAGGTAGGGAGGGAGATGGATAGGTAAGTGGACAATTCGGATGGAGAATTCCAAGGCAAGATCATCCGAGGTCCAGGGTGTAACTGTCAGATTTCTAGCGTTGAAAACGGGTATAGTGGGGGGTGTTTGGGTGAGATCCTACATGGGGATGAAACAAAAAGAGGGGGTTGGGGAGTTGATTGGTAACGGTAGGTACTGGACAGTGGGTGGTGGAGGACGAGGTACAGTAAATACCTAGGTATCGTAGCGCAAAGCGGCGTCAGTGATGATGGCGGGTGGAGGTTGTGTGGTTGTGATGGAGGTGGAAAAGGCTGGGCTATATTTGGGAACTCGGTACGGGGCTGTCGAGTATGCTACAAACATACATTAGAGATGTTACGTAGACTTCTGTATGTAGCCCGGTAGCCAGGTACTGTACCGAGTACTCGGTCTCTCTCGATGCAGAACTGATTCTTACCTATGCACCACATGTACGGGGTTACTCGGGATCGTGTGCCTTTGTTGCTTGTATGCTGGTAACACATGTCCGTATGTAAACTTCCTGTCCCAAACCACTATCGAGTTCGTCAACTTCGAGGTTACTAGGTACAAGGTAAAGGGTGCTGGGTACTCTATCCTCCTTCTTCCTCTGACCTGGCCCGCGTCCCATCGCTCGGGAATTACAAGGAGAGAGGGCTAAGGGGGTTCCCTTCTCTACTGCGGCCCCTGCAGACGAGTAGTTACAGAGAGGTTGGTACTGAAATCGTGCTGGAGACGCAGGGGATGAGATCGACGATCGGGCACACGGGCACACGAGACAAGGGGACAAGGGGACAAAAAGAAATGATCGAGCAATGCAGAGCTACTGTACCCTACATTCAAGTTGCATACCTACTCGTAGGCACTACTCTACCCGTAAATGGTAGGCACCACAGTACCTGGTAGTGTACTCGGTGCTCGGTGTTCGGTAACTCGTCTCCTGAAGAGGCGGTCGAGTAATAGTCAACCAAGGTTACGCGTCCCTTGCATCACATCACTTTTGCCTTGAGGAGTAGTAGTAGCAGCAGCAGCAAGCATCATAGGTAGCAAGTACGAGGTAGTGTGACGCGGATGGAATTTCTCATCGAGACTTTTCGCGACCGAAAAGGTATGAAAAAAAAAAGCCTGGTGCGAGGATGTGGTGTGGAGCGAAAGGAATGGGAGGCCCCCAGAACGATTGCGAAAGAGGACATGATACTCCTTCTCAATGGGGAATAGAGTACGGGGGGAGGGGAGGACGAAGAGACGAGTCGAGTCGAGAGATCGCTTGCTTGCTTGCCTGGATGCCTGGCTGTCTGGCTGAAACGCAAGTTCTTTCTCACAACGTAGGTAATGACGAGGACGAAACAGCTTCGGGGAATAAAGGAACAGGCCAAGCAGGGGATTATTAGCCCCGTGGTGGGGAATTACTCTGTAAGAGACTCGTCCACTCGTCCAACCTACTGTACAAGTACTGGCGACGAGGATTGAGCACGCGAAGGAAGGAAGGAAGGGAGGGAGGGAGCCTTGCGTAGGATTCGAAGCGTTTTTGCCGTGTTGGGATAGGATAGCAGAGCAGGGGACCCCAAGGAGCAAAAGATCTATTTTTATCACTTAGCATCCACTCCATTTATTACTCCATTGGCACACGCGAGGGTAATATGGATTTAGATCGCATACCTAAGGGAGGGTGGATACGAGAACCGAGTACATACATACTTACCTACATACACGATATGGATCCTCGGGGGGCGACCCAGACGCTCGACTAATCATGGGAACGAGGATGGATACGAGCACCGAGTTCTCGCATCTCAAGCCACTTCTTTCCTCTTACAGGCTTTGGGTCCGTCCTGAAGTTGGGACTATCCCCGGTCGAGAGGTGTGGGGTTGAGGTAATTGTATGACGAGTATTCTGTTCCGTAGCAGGGAGGGAGGTAGGTAGGTAGGTACAAAGGCAGCAAGGAGAACAGTAACTAAAGGCAAGGCAAGGCGAGACGAGGCGAGATGAGGCACTGGAGGCAAGGGGAAAGGACGGGTCGGTTCACTCCAGAAAAGAGCACAGAAGACGGAAGACGAACCGACAACACGACCGCCCTGGATATAATTGTGAAAGTGGAAAGGAGGTTATGGAGACCTGAACATAGTCAGTGCAACCAGCGCTGCGCCGTGAGAAGGGGAATCGTTCCGAGATATGGCGAGTACCGAGCAAACAGAGACATATGTAACCAACTGGTCGCCATGCGCCTGAACCCAATGGTGATAGATACCTAGCTATGAACCTGCTGTAGATGGCTTGGTATTTCAACAACAGCTGCCAGCCAGAGCTCGATCCGAAGGTCCAAGACAGAAAGAAAAGTAAAGGAATCGACGTCGAGCAGCCACGTGCCTTTGACGAGACAACTTGATGTTTGCCGTATTGGCATATGAAAGTCGATCTCCTATTTGTACAGCCCATTGCCTCTAGCAAGATGTCCACCACCCGAGACAGCAGCCCAATGTCCACGTAACAGAGGGTACAGGGATGCAAGGCTGCATGCGTCAAGTAAAAGGGATTAAGAACCTGCTTGTGAAACCCTCCATGGAGAGTGTGATGAGATGGCGACGGACTCAATTGCTTGTGTCAAGCATTCCTTTGACCACCCACCACTGCTCGTGCGTGCCCTCCAGATGGACTTGCGGTTACTGCTCGTCCAGGTCGGTCGAGCATGTCAATTCCTTCCATCCCTCCAGGGCTTTGACAGTCTCCTCGCATTGGGCCTTGATCATTCCATACGCGTCGGGTCCCAGCACCAACCGCATTGGAATCTCCTTGCCCGTCCCGCCCGTCAGGACATCAACAATGACCTTGACGCCCTTCTTGATGTCACCTGGCTGCTTGTTGTCGAATGCATCCATCAATTCCTCCCCTTTGCGCACGGCCGTACCTTCGTAATCAGCAATCGCATTCTCTCTCTTGAGCTTGTTTCCGGCAGCGAGAAACTTGGAGCGGAAATATCCAGGCTCGATGGTGCACACTTTGATGTTGAAATCGGCCAGTTCATAGTAGAGACTCTCCGAGAGAGCACTGGCCGCCGACTTGGAAGCACAATAGAGCCCAACGCCTGCGTAGCCCGTCCACGCAGCGACACTGGAGAAGTTGGCCACAACTCCCGACCGTTGTGCTCGCATGTACGGAACGATGGCCCGGGTGGTGTTCAACAGCCCAAACACGTTGGTGGCGAATTGTGCATAAGTCTGTTCCGGACTGGGCCCATATGAGTATCCCTCTCAAAGCAGAGAGTGTCGAAAGAAGCACTTACGTGGATTCCTCTATTCCCCCGACTTGGCTGTAACCTGCGTTGTTGATCAGGTAGTCAAAACGTCCGTAAACTCCATGTGCCTGTTCAGCTGCCTTCTTGAGATGCTCTAGAGGCGCCGTAACATCCCAACTCATCGTCGTGGCACCGGCAGCTTTGAGGTCGTCGAGCTTGCTGGCATTGCGAGCAGTTGCAATGACTCTGTCACCTCGTCTCAACGCCGCAAGTACGAGCTCTTGACCGAACCCACTGCTGCACCCGGTGATGAACCAGACCTTGGGGCTTGTCATTGTCCTTGAAATGTTTTCCGGTCTCGATTGATGTAGCGGAATATTATACCTGACAATAGGGTGACAGAGGCTGGCTTGTTGGGTGAATGGGTGGTTACTTTGAGATACTTCTGACACAGTTTAGCTGACCGTGCGTACGTCCTACCTTTATACTGTGAGTCTGTCACCTTTTGTATTTCTCGGCTTTTAGAGTCCCATTTATTTCCCTCCGTACAGCCAAGAAAAAGGGTGGCAGTCCAAGGCAGCAGATCATGGCATCGATGAAGTGATACCGTAGTTTGCCACATCTGCTTCAAAGAGCTCAAGGGTATAGGCCTGCTGGATGTCCATAAGTCGACTCAGCTGATGGTAGCGGCCGCACCGCATGGTATGTTGCTCAGCCTGCCAAAGACCGAAATCCGATACAGGATGTCACGTCGCTTGAAGCTCGAGCATGAATTTTCGCTGGGCGGCGATCTTTTAATGCTCTTGGCTGGAAGAGGCTGTAAGGGGTAGGTTCCTCAGAGGCTGTTACCCACAAGGTAATCGCCTTGCATATAAGCCATTTGCATCAGTGGGCGTAGTAAGCATGCTTGTTCTCGGTAGGCACCCAGTAGGTACTTGGTACCTCAGATCCGGTGCCTGGTCAATTGCGGATCGTTGAAACAGCCAAGCGTGCCAGATTGCCTGGCAAGCTTGAGGATGATTCCATTCACAAAACCGCGGCCAGAGCGAGCATAACACATCCCTGCAGTGGTGTTGGGTAGAAATTGGTTCAGAGACCTCTGGTGCAATGCGGACGAGCCGGATGTCCCGAGCCGAAACAAGTCAGGCAGAAGACAAGCGGCAAGCTGATTGATCTCAATAATGGCTAACAATGAGCTATTGTAGAAAGGGTTGTAACCTCCAACTGAAGCCGTCGACCAATTCTACATCTGAAGTGACCACCCCATCGACAAGGAGAGGACTACGGTCAAAGTTTCCAGTGCCATTTGTAGGCACGACTTTCAAAACACAAGCGAGGGGAAATTTATCACGCGAAACAGATGAACACGTCGACCAGAGGGATTATTCGACAGGGGCAACAGGGGCATTTTCCCCGCGGCGGTGGGTGCGGGAGAGATATTGTCTCTGCGTTGGAGAAAATTTTGCCTGGTTCTATCTTTCTTGCCAACGTTCACTTCTGCCACCCGCGAGAACCGTCGATGACTATTCTTCGTCGTCGAGCTCCTCATTTTCGGCAGTGGCAGTGGCCGCAGCTTGTTTGGTCTCGGAGCCCGAAATAGCTTTGGTTTTGACCGCGGGCTCATCCTCTTCTTGTTCTGGCTCGTCAGCGTCGTCTTCGGGCGCATCCTCGCCGTTCTCCTCATCCTCCTCCTCCTCCTCCTCCTCTTCCTCTTCCTGGGCGGTAGGCTTGGATTTCTTGGGTGCGGGTTCAGCGGGTTCGGCTTCAGCCTTTCGCTTTTTGGGAGGAGGAGCTATGTCAATGGGTCGATTAGCGATCCAGTTGAGACGGTAACAGAGCCTATTTTGGACCGATCAAAGGTCAGGACTTACCTTGTTCTTCCTCCTCCTCTTCGCCCTCTACGTCTTCATCTTCCTCTTCCTCTTCATCTCCGTCCTCGTCATCCTCGTCATCGTCGTCTTCATATCTGCCCAGGAGCAAAATGCATTAGCGCCATCAATTGCGAGAACCGATTCCAGCAGAAAGGGGCGCGCAGCTTGAGGATGAAGGAAGAGCAAGGATGAGGAGAGGATGCTTGAGCGACCTTGACTTGAGCCGCGCACAATGATCAAGCCAGACACGGCATCAAGACAACCAAGAATGCTTCAGATTGTTCATTCTATCCCGTGTCGGGGAGTTCAAGCAGGAGCAATCAAGAAATGAGAACAGAAAAGACGAAACTTACTCCTCTTCTTCTTCGTCGTCGTCCTCGGGGAGCTCGAGTTCTTCCTCTTCTTCGTCGCCAGGTCGGCTTCTGGTGGGGACCATGGTGTAAAGAATGCTTGGATGTGGACTTATAGATGAAACAAGATGGAAGAAGGTCTAGGAGAGATGGAAAAAGGATAGAAGCACGAGAGAAAGAAAGCTATGGGAGGGAATTAAGAAAGGGAGAAGAGGTGCGTGGTCGAGGTAGGGGGTGAGCGTGCGGACTACGGCTGAGAAACTTGGGAGACCTCTGGGGGGTAGCTGTGGGCAAACGTCAGGGCCCAGAGTCCATGTCCCAGGTTCGCACTAGTCAGCAGCTCAGGGGACTGAACAGAGGGAGAGGAGAGAAATCGGGGAGAGGCAAGAGGCGGGCTTCAGGGCTTCCGGGGGCTGGGAAAAGAGAGAGCCCGAAGTGTGCGCATCATAGTGCATAGAGACGTTCGGCCCAGTGGTTTGGCGTGCCGCTTGACCTTGCTTGACAAAAAGGGAAGCTCCAGAAAGCTGGAGAGGAGGAGAAGAGAAAGGCAGCTTTTTTGGCTGAGGAGCAGCAGTTCGGCACAGCACCACAGCACCTGAGCTGGGAAAAAGTGGGAGGGACAAGAGCTGGGAAGCGTGAAGAGGCAGAGAGAACAGGCGAGGGGCAAAGGGGGCGAGGGGAGCTCCGAGCACAGGAGGTTGGGGAAGTGCGCAAGCAGCAGGCACAGGAGCTGCGGCTCTCTAATCCCCCTCTCTCCGTAGGGCCTCCTCCCCTGGACTTCCGAAGTTCGTGATGGGCAAAGGCACTAACTCTAGGTAGCCCACTACGCTATGAATTGTGCTGCTGCTGTTTCTGCCTGTCAATTGGCCCTTGTCACCTTGATCCGAGCTCCCTCGATGGCGCCAAGCCGAAAAAGGACCCGCCCTCCGGAATAAAGAAAATACGGCACCGAGAAAACCTATCACAGTCAACTCGGCGTCTTTAGCTCCCTGCGGGTCTCTTTTCAGGGTCCTTTGTTACTTTCCTTCTCGCTTCATTTCTCAAGCCTCAGCTCAACGTCATCACACCTTGCCAGACCGACGCGAATCATCTCCGGCCCATTCCACCCCTAGCGTTTTCAGGTTCAATGAACATTGATGATACCGAGTGCTGTGCTTTGTGGGGGGAAGAAAACCAAACAAACAATGGGGCCAACTGAAGATGACCTGTCGTCCTTTTGCCTGTCCTGCACCCCAACAATTGCATTTGAGCCCTGCGCAACTGCATTTTCCAACTCCCACAGCAGCCTCAGTGTGACCGAGGTCGATAACAGCATGGTTCAAACCAGGCCCTGGCCTCGGTCAAGGTGTCACGGTGCAACCGCTCGGGGGTTTTCTGCCTTCCCTTGTATACCTCTTCCCGATCCACTGTCAACCACCCATCACGTTTGCTGAGCCTACAAACACCACCAACACTGCCGCAAATGCTGTGGTGGACATAAAAACGTCGGCTCGTCTCTGAGCAATCACGTTCATCACCAATGAAAACACCAAGCTCATCATGCTGATTGCAACCAGGCGTGCGGCCATGCTTTTCACACTGAACAACACCAGGATTGACAAGGCCGGAATCACGGCTGACAACAGCATACATATCGTATTCCCAACTTGCACCAACGTTTCTGGCCTGTACTCCCACGTTCTCTCAAAGGCCTTTTCTGCCATAGACCGGTGAAGTCTATATCCTACTGCCCGGTGATATAGCGGCACCACTCTTTCACTCAAAAAGTTGGCCAGAGCATCTTTGCTTCCAATGTTTTCGTTCAGCGTCAACAAGTCTTCTTCAACGCTGGCGTCTCGGAAGATGCCCGCTTCCACTCCATACAAGAACTGGTCGCCACCACTTTCTTCGTCATACCACTGCCTGCGGAGCTCGAGATTGTCCTTTCGCGGTTGCTGCAACGCGTTGATTCTTGCTGTTCTCAATAGAGCTCGGTCTGCCCCACCGTGTCAGCGGCCTGTTCCCATTCATTGGTGTCAAAGCCACGCTTCCTACAGTACTCGTCCAGCAGGGTCCTTGACCGCTCAAAAATCCGGTGTATGTCCTCTTCAGACATGCTTTCGGGATTATCGATCCAGATCCGGTCGAAGCTGTTCATGCCTGGGATCTTTCGCACCTCATTAATAACCACTTCGAGATGCTGCAGCTCGGCTTGCATGTGCAAGATATTCTCGAGGTTCATGCTGGAGAATTTTCGGAAAGCTTCGATATTCTGATGGCTGGCCATCATGGCTGCCAAAGCTCCGTAACCCGTCATTTTCGTAACGCAGCGATCTCGTCGGCGGCTTCCGCGAAGGTGATAGAGATCAGGGGTATGTCTTTTGTGGGAGGACAGCGGGCGGGTGTCTGCTTATAATGAGGACTCACAGACTAACTTGTCCAACACAGCCGCGACCTCTCATCAGTGGGGCGCTCGCCGAGGGGCCTTCCATCTACCTGCATCGCTGCCCAAGAGGCCTCCCTTCCAACCGTCCATCGATGAGAGCTTCCAATAGAGAGCGAGCGCGCAATGCCACTCTGGAAATGCTCTCTATTTGGCCATTGTTCTCGCCGCCAACGCATATTACGGGCCCGGCCATCCCTGCGTTCGGAAACTACGTGAAGATCGCCCGTGCTGCCAGTCCGACGTACGTGGCGACAGCCTTGGAAGCACGTGCTCTTTATCTTACGGCAAACTCATCACGCATTTACCGGCTTAGTTGTAACATATCTCATGAGGTATCTAGGAACCACTCCCCCCAGCTCTACATTTCAGAAGTCCCTGGATATCAGGGCATTTGTAAATTTGAGACAAAGACTTGCACCGCACTATTCATCCCTCGGAAGTCTGACAAGGTCTCGGGCTCGTTCGGTGCGGCAAAACTCAACGCTGCAACTTCCCTTACCGAATGTGGTCCCGAAATAGTTACTGGTGCTTCCGTTGGCAATCGTCGATTCATTCTCTTTCATCCTCCAAACCACGGTGCTACTGTTGCAAAGACACGCCTCCTGTTGTGACACTGACCCACGGTATTGGGAGGTACTCCCGAGCCCTCTAAAGCTGTCGTGCTTTGCACATGGAATCAGCCTGGTTTTTGTCAAGAAGTCGACATGTCTCAAGAGGTTCGGAGGCCCACAGCTGCAGCCCTGTATGCGGGATAAGGGTTCTCGTCGTGTTTGGAGGAGTTTGTCACATGTTGCCATATTGCAGCTTGCCCGAAGGACGGGCCCGACCCTGTACAACGACACGATCCAAGCAGAGACCATGCCGTTCCCAAAGTGGCTTGACTGCCATTTGGTGTTATTTAAGATGGCAGACTGGTCTGTCTTTGTTGCTAATCTTTTCCGTGTGCTGGTGGCTTAAAATCTCTCTTCGCGCAGTGTGAATGACCCGCGGACTCTGCGACGGTTGAGCAAGAGTGAGAAGGAATTGCCGAGAAAGGACGTACCAGTACGAAGAGGCTTCCACGTGTCCCAGCCGAATAAGAGAATTACTGACTTTGTGGATGGCAGGATGACCCTAGTCACCTGGAGGAAGCATTCGCCCGAAAGGATGTCCAAGTTACTTCGCGCCGTCCCGGATTCCAAGGGTGTGGCCAAAGCCCCCGTTCTTGACCGGCTGCGAGATTCTATAATTCAGCCTCTGTTCCAAGGAAAGGAAGAAAAGCCGAGCCGGGCAGCAGATTGTGCCAGCAGTGGTCCGCCCAAACACCATGGAAAAGTCATGTTGATGGAAGAAAGAAGGAGGCGTCTCAATCTCTTTGTGGTTCTCATGTTCATCCATCTTGAGCCGAAGAAGAATCCACGGTCGAGTCATCAACAGTCGACGACGACGACGACTCCGCGAAGAGTGTTGCTGGACACCGGGGCCGATTTCAACCTGATCTCTGACGACGCTCACACGGAGCTCAACCTGACCAAGCAGCCATACAGTGGCCGCGTGCATTCGATTGGTGGATACACCGATCTCAGCAGCACCGTCGTCCTTCAGTGGCATTTCCAGCGTTACAGTTCCGAAGCAGATCGGAATTCGCCGTCCCATCGTGCGCCGTTTTATGTTCTACCACCAGAATCCGAAGCCAAATTCGACTGTATCCTCGGCCGACCCTGGATCGAGGAGAACTGGGATGAATTCATCACCTTGGTCGAGGTCAACCGAAGAAAAGAGGCCGCAGGGTAGGAAGCTCTCCAAAGTACAGTGGGTTTCGTGAAGTGTTTTGCAATTGCACCATAGTATCGGGGCACCGAATCAATTCTTCTCACAACAAAAGCACACCAACCGGATCAAGGGCGAGCGCAAACGTCCGACTTATGAAGGGAATAATACGATGAATGTACCACCAAAAGATGAGACACAGAGGTTAATTTCTGGGAAAGGACCTGCTTGCCACGGAGCTTCTGAAGCGATATCGTGTGACAAAACCCCCCCGAAATCTGGATTCGGACCGAGGGAGGCGTTTGGGTGACGGGCTACTGAAGACAAATTTGTTACACAGCTGGTTGAGTAAAAAGTCCCCAAGTCATCGAAACATTGCCAGACGGCCAACGACGTTAATTTTGTACGGATATGGTCATCAGGACATGGCGGAAGCCGCCACAGCGGATCCGAGAAAGGACTATTCAGTTTGGTATCTTCCAGAGTCTTGTTCAACCTGTCAATTGTTCTTTGTGGCTTGTTCTCAACCTCCGCATTCTAAAGTGACAAATCTAGCGTTCATGGTCCACCCCGACAGTCCCAGGTGACCATCACGCCGGAGTGCAGCAAAATGTCATCACTTGAAGTCTTTCGCTCGACAGGGATGTACCGTTGGCAAAAGGTGTACCTGAACAAATCCTCTCCCTAGATATATGAAAGACGAAGCATCCTCCAATACCAGTCTGCCAACACACGGGCATTTCAATCCGGGCTTGGGCACGAAGTTTGTCTCCCTGTTGCGCAGTTTCAGTTGCTGCCGGCTTGTTTGCCCTGTATTTGCCTCACTGCTCGGCCGTCTGCCCTTTTTGAGGCATGGCCACAGGGCGCAATCGCCCGATCTCGACCGCTCTTATGCAGGATTCCCATCAGCTCGAGTCTTCATATCGCTCGTGGCAAGCTCGTCGTCCGCAGTTATTTCGTCCATCCAACAGGACTTCACCAATGGTACGGGTTTCTCGCTACTAACCGAGCACATGTTGATGCTGTCTTCTGCACTTGCTGACACCCGGTGGCTTAGGCCATGAATTCGAAAGTGTGCATCTTCGTCATCGCCGAGGGCCAGGAGCATCCTGTCAAGCTGAGCAATGCCCTTTACGACAGTACTTTGTCCAAGAGCATCATTTCAAGGAGCAAAGCGGTGGCGACCCGCGGTGCCATTCGCCCCAACACACCAACCACTTTGACCGATCATACAGGAACGGGTCATGTCTCCACTTCTCACATCTCCTTGCGATGGTACTACGATGACGGCACTCAGACTTTTCCCGAAACATTCTACATTGTCGACAAAGTAACGGCCAATGACACGGGCAGCACCCGTGAAGAAGAAAGAGACCACCACTGGGATGCGATGCTCCGCAGTACCGTCGAGCCACCATCCGCTGCTCTAGGCCCTCAGGTCAACCCGATATGCGCTGCGCCCCCGGGAGTCGATCCCCGGCGGGAGCGCGAAAGGAAAGAACGGGCCGAGACGAATCAACAGAAATTCGAGAGGGAGAAGGAATTGCAGGCCAAGAAGATCCGGGATGCGTTCGCTTTGAAGCAGGCCGGGCCGGGAAAGCGAGGATGAACAACGGACTTATCGTTGAGCCATAATTTCGGAGAAATTGAAAAACAGGCCCGTCAGCCTTTGACAACGTGGTTACGTGTGGACGGGGATTGAGAGAGTTCGCAATTTTTCCTTTACGAGCGTGTCGCATTGGTGTGTGTGTACACTGGGACGAAGCAGCTAGCTGGCACGGTCCTATCCTAAGGGATCTGTCTCGTTGACGATTTAGCGTGTGATTTTTCCATTGATATTGTTGACCTTGTCATTCTTTATATCGCCATTGGGAAAAGAATGACTGCCATGTGATCGATCTGGGAAAACACGGTCCGTTCTCTACGGTATACTACTTACCGCAACTCCCCCTTGTTTTTTTACTATATGGATAAATAAATAAATCTATTTCAACGGGGCACAACGCGTAGAGCGTACCGTCTACGCATTCCAATAGTTCTTACTATGCGTACCGTACCATACTATGCCGACATCGTCATCGCGGGTGTGTCGTCGGATGGAATTCTGCCCGCCAATCACAATATCTACCTAGCTATACTCGGTAATCCATCTGCCCCATTCCATCTATTCAATGTACCTGTCCCAACAAATCCCCGCAGCCCTTTAGAGTATCAATGAAACTTGCCAAGTTGTTTTTGGTGGAGGGTGGGTGCGTGCGGCCAGCGAAATTCGGGGAGGGGGTTTTGGAGACGCAAGCGACGAGTTGACGGGTAACGGACGAAAATTATGATTTTGCTATTATCGCTGAAGTGGGCGGGTTGAGGATATCTGTGGGGACTTTGAGATGGATAGATGATGAAGACCATTGAATAAGAGGTAGAAAACGGAAATTATTCGTGAAAAGAGGCTAGAGGAGAAGTAAAGGAATAGACGGCAAATGTATATCTCCAAAAAATATATACTTGTAGACCTGTATACCTGCACCCGGATAGAAAATTGCTAGATGCTCTCATTACTCCTCCGCTTTGCCCACTGAAAAGAAATAATGTCCTTCTTCCAACGATCAAGCCATACCGCCGTTCACCCGGATCGTCTGCCCGCTCACCCACTCGGCGCCCTCGCCGCACAGGAAAGCGATCGCCTGCGCAATCTCCTCGGGCTTGCCGATTCGGTTGGCCGGGTGGAAGCTCGCCAGAGTCTTGAGCACCTGCTCGCTCTTGCCCTCCAGGAAGAGATCGGTTGCTGTCGGGCCCGGGGCAATGGCGTTCACTCGGATGCCTTTCCTGGAGAGCAGGTCCTTGGAGAGGAGGCGAGTCAGTTGTTCGATGGCGCCCTTCGTTGAGCAGTACAGCGTGTAAGGTCCGTTGACGGTCGAGGCGTGGCAAAGGGTCGTGGAGATCAGCACGATGCTGCTTCCCGGCGCCATGTGCGGTAGAGCCTTTTGAACGAGGAAGAAAGGTCCCTTGACGTTGAGGTTGAATGTCCGATCAAAGTCCTCTTCTGTACACGATTCGACCGTCTTCATGGGCAGGATCCCCGCATTAGGGACCAGGATGTCGATCTTTCCAAACTTCTCTACCGTGGCCTTCACCAACTGTTCGACGCCGGCGACCGTCCCTGCGTCGGCTTGGACTGCGTAAGCATTGTCGCTGCCGAGTTGCGAGACGATCTTCTCCGCTGCCGCCGTGTCGCGGCCATAGTTGACGACGACTTTGGCTCCGAGTTTGACTAGGAGCGTTGCAGTGCTTGCGCCAATGCCCTTTGTGCCACCGGTGATGACGGCGACTTTGCCTGAGAGTGGAGCGGAAGACATGGCGATGGGTCTGGATGCGGTTGGCGCTTGCGTCGTGGGTGTAGCAGTGCTTGGAGTTCCTTGCTGGGAAGAGGATGTGGTCTTATTGGACTTGTGTCTGGTGATGATTGCCTTGAACTGTTTCATGGAACTTGTTGCAGTGGTTGATATGGAGAAAGACTTGCTCGAAGACTGGGCTCTCTCACCCCTTGATATAGAAATCGACCCCCTTGCGATGGCATAGTTTGTACGGAATTGTGGTTTGATACCCAAGGACGAGATGACGCCGGTAATTCCGGCTGAAGATTCTGAATAACCAGGGAGTGCGGCATCAAAATCAAGACTTTGACAGAGATCGCGCGAAGTGAATTCGACCAGATGGACTTTGGTGTTCCCTGGAGACTTGGCGTCGTGGCTTGCGGCCGCACATAGCGCACATAGCGATAAAGCCTTGCCAGCGGAGGAGAAGCTGCCCTATTGGGAAAGACCTGTTCTCCGCAAAGACCGACTAATGTCGAGGGAAAAACATATGATGTCTCCGGGGATACACCGGAACAGCCAATCTTAGGCTGCCAATGCCGCCACTGATGTCATTCTCTCTGGAGTTATGCCTCGTCAAACGGCACCATCGGGTATAATATTCTTCCGCTGTGTGCTGACTCTTCATTCCGCTCGTACATGGGTTTGAGTTGTGCAACGATGTTCCTAGGGGTTAGATGATACAGACCCTTGAAGACCGTGGTTGGCATCCTCCACAGAATGAAGGACGGTGTGGTATTGATACTCAAGGCACCTGACATCGCGGAATGGCGACCTCGTCACGAGTACATATCTGGCAGATATAAGAGGTTTGAGCACGTTCGTTTTTTGGATCTGGTCCATTTACCTTGCCAGTTAACCCTTTCAACGCAAAACCTGAGCAGAAGATGACTGCGCGACCTCTTGTGAGCTTGGTTACTGGGGCTGGTTCGGGGTTTGGCGCCTTGACAGCGCGTGCGCTCGCCAGATCGGGCCATACTGTATATGCTGGCTTTCTCCAGTCCCACGACGACAAATCTTCCGTGTACAGGGACGCTGCAAATTTTGCCAGAGATAATAACTGTCAGCTTCGAGGCATACAGCTCAATGTCGTCAAGGACGACTCGATCAAGAGAGCGGTCGACAAGATCATCGCCGATGAGGGGAGGATAGACGTTGTTGTCCACAATGCCGGTAGGCGCCAGGATCGATACTTCAAGAGAAGTGACTCGCACAAGCATTGACGATTTCTCTCAGGACACATGAACTTTGGTCCCGCCGAGGCATATACGCCAGAACAATTCATGGAGATGTACGACGTCAATTGTCTGTCTTGTCAACGCATCAATCGAATCGTCCTGCCCCATATGAGACAGGCCAGAACCGGACTGCTTGTGTGGATATCGTCCAGCAGTGCTCATGGGCCGAGCTCTCCGTTTCTAGGACCATATTTTGCGGCAAAGGCTGCCCAAGACTCCCTCGCACAGACATATGCCGCCGAGCTGACTCAGTTCGGTATTGAAACATCGATAGTCGTGCCCGGCGTCTTTACAAAGGGCACCAATCATTTCGCCACAGCCATGAAGGCCGGAGATGCGGCAGTCGAGCATGAGTATATGGAAGGCGCTCTAAAAGGATGGGATCGGATCTGTGCTGAAGGCCATAGCAACATAGTTTCACCTGATGCCGACCCTGGAGCTGTTGCTGAAGCTGTTCGCCGCGTGGTTGATACAGAATATGGTAAGCGGCCGTTCAGAGTGCATGTTGAGTTCGACGGAGGTGGTGCAACCATTGTCAATGGCGTTCGTGATCTTGTGAGGGAGACCTTTCTCACCAAGTTGGGACTGGCGGAACTGTTGAAGGTCAAGATATCCAAGTGAGATGTTGAGTCAGGCCCAAAGTTTCATGACTTCAAGTGTTTGGCAAGTTGTAAGCTCACAAGGAAAGGAATGAATTGAAACTCGCAGAAAGAAAGTCAGGCTGCAACGATGCGTCATTTGAACCTCACGCGGACAGGATTCTCTGGGATACGGCGCCAATTTGGCGACTCAAGGCAAATCCCTCTGAAAACATGTCCGTCTGACAAAAAAAGGAAAATATCATGTCCAATAAACCCGCAGACACTTGCTGAGGTCTTCGATTTCACTTCACAAATGTTTCCTAAGCTGGACGATTCTTTACAAGTGGAGCTTTTTAAAACTGTATGAGATGCACAAAGCAGCTCTCTCCACTGATGTCCCCGCAAATGATCTCGGAACCATGTTCCAGCTTACATTTTGGACAAGTACCCTTCCGCTATCCAGCCATGGGGAGGCCATCGACTCTACGAGCGTGACCACTGGAATCAAGCTGGACTTATCCACAACTCAAATCCTCAATTGGGAGTGTCTCTCACCTGTCTGCGGGCGGTGGTAATGCGTCTACGTTCGTTGCCACGCACTCCTGTCTCGCGGTCGCCCCCTGTCAGCCAAAACCTTGAATAGTAATCATCAAATTTGGCAGATATGCCACTCATTCCAACGAGAGGTCTTTCCTCCATCTTTGCACCGTCTCTGAACTGTGAGCCTTTTTAAGTCATTGAGGCATTCTCTGCCTGTCAAACCACCTGGATTGCCAGGACGGTTCCTCCGATCAACTCGCGGATAGCTCTTGAGGTAGCGGAAGAGGGAAGATTGTTGACAGCCATGACCCATACAGAAGACGATGGCTTCTTTGATGTCACTCTTCTGAGCCATCCGATGGCACGGAGCATAGATGAGCTGTGGGCAGGCAAGACAGATATCAAAGAACGACGTCGACTACAAAACCGACTGAATAGACGAGCTTATCGTTGGTTCCCACCGCCTGACCCGAAAATCATCGACTAATTGAGGAATATAGGGAAGCGCCAGGTTGAACAAAAGCTGCTTCGGGAGAGGACAATGACTGAGGCTGGCCCTGAATCCCAAAAAGGCCGTCATCATCGAGCGTCCAGAATCCCTGGGGTTGGCGTCTTCGCCCTTGCAGAGAAGGACAGCGTGACATCAGATGAACTAATCTCCCTAAGCTCCTTGGTATCTGCAGCTGGAAAGCTTTCTACAGGAGCCAACAAAATCATGTCATCTGAATCGTCAACCCCGTCAAGGGGTCATCAGCTCAATCTCAAGCTCGTGCAGTCATGGTGTCGAAGATTCGAAGAGTCGATGTTGGGCGCCGGCTCTATCGGCGTCGAGTTCAGTGATGAAGATGCCGCGGTGACAGATTCGGATCCTGTCGTGTTCGAAGAAAGCATCATCTGTACCATGGACATCCGCTATCACACCTTCATCCCCAACCCAGAAGATCAGCTTCTCAACCTTATGTACTACAACGTTTTCCGTGGATTGGCTAGAAACATCAGAGCCTTGAATATGGAAATGCACTTTATGTCCTCCTGGGCTTCGGACAGCCCTTTTGTCACTGGTCAAATTGACATCTCCACGCTGCCACCGGATTTCCAGCCGACATACCTTCAACGAACCGTTTCGCACCACCCATGTTTCGATATATTCCCTGACCCCGTTGTGAGGGACAATGCTATAGAGCACTGGTATATCGAAAAACATCCACTGGAGGGGAGATTATGCATGGCGATTGCTGGCAGGCATACCTGGCATGAGATTGACCTTGCTCTGAGACATGGTTGCGTGCTTTGGGGTGAGCCGGATGTCGCAGAGAGTTGGGAGGTCACTCAGGGTTTTGCAGACGACTGGCCTTTTCTGGTCAAAGGCGCTTTTCGCCTTGAAGCCGCAACGAATCGATATAGAGCGCTGCGAGGCGAGCCGCCAATTTTCTTTGCGTGAGGTTTGCAGGATGTATATAGATTTTCCTGTGACAGTGCTTGACAATCTGGCATATACCCATTTATGCACTCCAATACATTTTTATGGCTGCTGAGAACAGGGTGTGTTGGTATCTTGGGTGGAGATGTCACGGGCAGAGGGGATTTATGAGTGTTGTGAAGAGAAAATATCGAGTTTGGTTGTCTCATGAACTTCGCAGCGACCAAGTTTTTGCACCTTCAAAGAGATATTAGCACCAAGGAAGCACCGAGTCACGCTATTGTGTGCCTCTTGCTATCGGCAAGGAGGATTTTCAGTGGCTTGCAACGACGTACCTGACCGTGAGTCGACCCATTTTCAGTAGTCCCTGACTTTCAACTAACGCATTCGCAGCTTTTGAGTGCAGCCACCTCCCTCGAGCTTGTCAGTCCCACGCCTCTTTTCCATCGTGCATCGAACCAAGTGTATGCTCTGGGCCCTGCCAATCGTCCAGCCAATGTCCACGATGGCGTTGGTTCAGGGAGCGACACCTACAGAACCTATTCTGGTGATGGCTCAACATCATCTGACTGGCCAGAAATGGCGCAATGGGTCTCATTTGAGGATATGTGAGGGCTAGAGAACATCTTTTGTCCACTCGACTGATATCTGAGCAGGTTCGTCGCGAACGAGAACTTTATGCGGGTGTCGTGTGTCAATATGAGACCCGACACTGGGTCTGACAACAGTGACGAAGAAATCAGCCAGATCTGGAATGCAGTCCAGTCAGCTTTGTCCCAAACCAATGTTGACCACCGCTTCATCCTGGCAATCCTTCTTCAGGAATCCAACGGCTGCGTTCGAGTCCGCACGACCGAGAACGGTGTGCGCAACCCAGGGTTGATGCAGGCCCATGACGGCGGCTTTGCATCAATGGAAACATCCAGACTCCGTGGCCCGCTTTTGAGATCGACGGGATGGTCCTTGACGGTGTTGCTGGGACTTTGAGTGGGGATAGGCTCGCTGGCATACTCAAGCACGTAGGGGCACAGGACGCCAGAGCATACTATCGGGCTGCTCGACAGTACAACACTGGGTCCATTGTAGAGAGTGGTGACCTAGACACAGGGGGATACTCGACCAATCGCTACGCCAGTGACATCGCGAACCGATTGACGGGTTGGGTTTGGGCGATATCGAGTTGTTCTCTTTGAGTGTCGGGTCACTACTGGAGGGCAAATTTAGTTCATTTTGAGGTCTGTCTGTAGTCTAATGTACTCCGCGCTCTGTCCTATGACAACAAGGCTGCCAGATCATGATAGTAACCTGGATGTCGATCAGGAGCACTTTTCGAATCTATTGATCGGTACTGAAAATGGACGACGAGTGCAGTCTGCTGTGGAGACGACATTTTCAGAGATGTGGCGGGTGAAGCCCGGCGGGATTATTTCCCGAGCTTCTGCCACCTGGTCTTTGAGCCGTCACAATGATCCTCTACATGCGGACGAGGCTACCATTACTTGTTGATCTCTATATCTGGACACCCTTTCTTCACATAGATGTCAAACCTCCTACTTTGAACGTTCCCTCGAGAATCTAGCTTCCAACAGTCCGTCACCATGCTACCCTTTCTCGCCCCCTACCTCTCCAACCCTCGTCAGTCACTGTCGCAGGTGCTGAATTTCGCCCTCGTCCTGTCGACTGCGTTCATGCTATGGAAGTCGCTGTCCGTTATTGCAGACTCGCCCTCGCCTATCGTGGTGGTTCTGAGTGGATCGATGGAACCTGCGTTTCAAAGAGGTGATTTACTGTTTCTCTGGAACCGAGATAAAACGGCCGAGGTGGGAGAAATAGTCGTCTACAATGTGAAGGGCAAGGACATTCCAATTGTCCACCGCGTTGTCCGAAGTCACGCACCTGCAACGGCTGTCGAAGTGGATAATAGGTATAGACACCCGGCTACTCCTTGAAGATTGAACAACTCTGGCTAACACGTCCGTGATCTCAGTGGTAACCTCTCGAACGCGTCTCCAAAACTCCTTACAAAAGGCGACAACAACGTCGCCGACGACACAGAGCTCTATGCGCGGGGTCAGAGCTACCTGGATAGAAAAGAGGATATTATTGGCAGCGTGCGCGGATATGTGCCAGCAGTTGGCTACGTGACCATCATGCTTAGCGAACACCCTTGGTTGAAGACGGTTATGCTAGGAATGATGGGCCTGATGGTCATTTTACAAAGGGAATGAAGGATGATACCCTTTGGCCAATAGACACGCGCCGACCCATACACAACCTTGACCGACCGGCACTTTAAAGGATGAAACATCCTCGAACATCAAGCGCAAGCGGCACCCTGACTCTGCGGCCTTTCCTACGCGTAGTCCGATTGACCTCTTATTACGCTGGCCCTGGGGTATGTCCGATGTATCGCAGACATCTGTTGGACAGACCAGGGAAAACACCGAGCCAGGAGGGTGGCTTTACCATAGCCGAAGGGAACACTGTCGGATTGTGGCGGATGTACTCGGTATAGGGCTTGAGGGTTTTGGACCCCAATTCCAGCAGTGAGGAAACGTGCCATCTGTTAAACGCGATTCTACGAGTACGAGGAGGTGCGATGAGGCTACTCGATAGGAACAACAAAACACAGGCAGACACATGCCATTCCGGGTGAGGTGCAGGCTGGTGCTGACGGGTCTCGGACAATTCACAAAGAAGATGGAACACCACTTGTCCGGAAATCCTTGGTGCAAGGGCCGCTGCAGGTGACAAATAGCGATGGATCAAGCAGCCCAGGGGCCTTACAGGGCGAATCCTCCTGGCGCACCCACATTGGGCCATATGGGAGGGGGCACTTTGGGCTAACGGTCCATTCATCCAACAGGCATCGAGTATGGCGCCATTTACAAGAATCTGGACCCCAATCCATGGCGCCGAGAGAAAGGCCGATGGCTAAATCCCAGTCTTTCCCCTGGTTCTTTTGCAACTGTTCCACCCCCGTCACCCCCGTGTAGCGCCGTCCTCGTATGGTTCGTTCCACGACAACCAGAATCATGCATCCTCCAAGACGAGCTGAAAACCACTCGGCTCCTTATCGCTGGCATGTCTCACAGGGTCTGGACTGTTTTATCTTTTCCCTCCGCCCTCTTGCGGTTGTCGAACAAATCGGTGCATTGAGCGCCAATGTGTTGTTGATCCCTGACGCTTGAAAGCACGCAGCGCCCAAGTAGTGAGATAGATGACTTCCCGACCAGTCCCATCTTGAAGTGTCGTCTTTCGTTGCAGACGCTCAACGCCAGCCTTACGAGACAAAGTCTAGCTCGTGCTTCAACAGGCGCGTCCCAATTTCCCCGACTCCAGTTGCTTATCCGCGACTAGTGCACGATTGATCATAGCGACGCCCCCGTCTGCATCGCTAAAAGGGTCCAACGCTGCTGCAGCAGAAAACTGTTTGATGCTGACACCCGGGATTTCTCTACGCTTTATTGACACTGCTATTCCGCTGACGTCCTGCGCACTCGCTGCCAAACGAAACCCGTGTTACCATCACCATCGCGAGGGGCAGCGCAAGTCTCTATCGGATAATTTGTCAACGTCCAAGTCTGCAGCGACAGCTCTGTACAAAGCGATCTGTGCGGCGCCCATTTACGACGAACTCTAGCGAGAAATCCCCAAGCATGTCTTCATCAAGGTCGTTCATCCAAACCACTGTGGACCACAGTTGACCTCGCTCTGTATTTACACGTCGCATCACTGCTGAAGGTTTACAATCGCCAGTATGGACCATAATCAGTATGATCTAGGCTCCATGCCTCTGTCGCAAACATCAGCCCCAGATCATGTTGAACTTCTTAGTGGAAAAGGTTCGCCCGGGAGTGCCGTCACGATCGATGTGACACAATCCGCTCCTTACCATCGGCGTCATTCACGGGGGTATTCCGGAGACGAGCGATTGAAGTCGATAGATGAAACGGAGAGCATGCGAGATGAGTCGTACGACATGGTAGAACCGTTAACGCCCACAAAGGCTCGCGGGTTCGGCGCAGGGCAATCCGCTGCCTCGTCAGTTCTTCGACGATTGACCACCAAAATCAACCCCATGTCACGGGGCACATTTCGATCCACCAAGCGGTCTCAAGGCAGGGAGTATGCGACTTTGGGCGACAGTGAGGAGGGCCAAGCTGCTGCTGTGGATCTTTCGTCGTTGGAGGGCATGGGCTGGGAGCTCACTGACTTGTCAAATCCTGACACTGCGAGGCTCCAAGATGAGGAAACCGAGTACGTGAGCGTGACCAGAAAGGATGGGAAACCTGATTTTCGCACGTTCGTCCAGAAGCGTGCGTCGGTGGGAGATGGAATGAAGGATGTGGGCGTGCAACTGAGGCGCGATCCTACGCGGATAGCTCGAAGAGGAACTGATGGCATGCGCAATGCCCGGAGCTCAGGCATCGATCGGAGCAAGACCGTGCGCGACTTGGGCCAGGACCTTGCGCAAAAGAAGAAGATGATTGTCGAGATCGAAGAAGTGGTTGACTTGAGCACCTTGGATGGAGGCAACGCAGATAATCGCCAGAGTCGCACGTTCGAGTCCATGTCCATGAGGCAGAGTGTGCTGCCCCAGGAGACGAAGAGCTACTTCTTCCCCGATGATCCTGATATCCCCAACTGGAAACCATGGTCAATGCGGCCTTGGTACATTTTGTCCTTGATGGCCCTGGCGCTGGGTTTGGCGGGCTTTCAGGAATACCTGTGTCAGCGGTCCTTCAAAAGCGTCAGAGAACACAGTGGGATCCTCGCCTTCGATGCTGTAGCGGAAATTTCGACCTGGGACTTCTTCGCATGGAAGTGTAAGTGAGCAATGCTGCTCTTCTTATCACTCTACTAACCAAATCCAGATCTTCCCACGATGATCACCATTGTCTACGCAGTTCTGTTCTCGATCATGGATTTCGACATTCGCCGTCTCGAACCATTTTATCAATTATCACGACCTCGAGGTGCCTCTGCAGCTGCCTCGCTGAACTTGGATCATTTAACCATGTTCCAATACTTTGTTCCCTTCAAGGCGTTTCGACTCCGACAATGGGCGGTGTTCTTCTCGACCACGGGTAATATTGTGGCCTCGATGGTCTCGCCTGCTCTACAAAACCCCTCAATCACATTTGTCACGAACCCGGATCCAAAATGTAATGTCGATGGATGCCCCGGTGATGAAAAGCATTATTGGGTACGAATCTCACCAGTCTGGTCTCGAACCTTGTCCGCAAGCTATGTGTTTGTGGCGATCGTGCTCGTGATCCTGTTCGTTCAGTTGCGGCGTAAGTCCGGACTCCTCAGCGACCCGAAAGGTATAGCTGGCATTGCATCCATGGCCACCAAGTCGCATATTCTCCAGGATTTCGCGGGGCTGGACGAAGCAAATTGCGCAAAGATCCACAAACGATTGGAACATCGACGATATGTGCTCTACAAATCTTCCATCTGGCAAGGCGAATGGAGCTCGCAGAGTGACCCGCCACAGGATAGCGAGAGGAAGCTCACCAGTCCGCATCCATTGATGCTGCAGATGCAAGCGGCCATTCCGTTTCTTGCCTTTATGGTCTTCTGTCTGGTGTCGGTACCCGTCATAACGCTGACCAAGGCGCGGGTGGTTCCGAACGCTGCGCCGTGGCTTCCCATTCTCGTGGCTACAGGCTTGAAGTTGTTTTTTAGCACGTTTGAGGCTGATGTTCGACTTATGGAACCATTCTATCAGCTTTCGCGGGGAAACGCCAGGCCTGAAAACAGCTTGACCCTGGATTACCAGGCGACTGTGTACGGGATCATGCCCTTTAAGGCGCTCGTTAATCGCCACTATCTCCTGACACTCGTCGGCGTGTCCTCGGTATTGTTGGATATCCTGGCGGTGACTGTGAGTTCTTTCTCGGTCAACTCGGAGGACTTTATGCACGTGGGAAGTCGCGGCGAGGACCGGTCCAACGGCGACGAGACATTCGTTTCGTTCTGGACTTCGCTCGTTCTCTCTGCATTCATTTTGGTTTTTGTCATTTTCACAACATCGCTGGTCTATTGGCGACGGCGACACCCGTTCCTACCACGAGAGCCGTCCACAATTGCGGCGGTGTTGGCCTTCATCTACGCCAGCAACATGCTGACGGATTTTGTTGATACCGAGACGCTAAACAACAAGGCCATGGAAAAGAGACTGAAAGGTATCAACAAAAGATACGGACTCGGGTGGTTTAGAGGGAGAGACGGACAGATTCACTGTGCGATCGACGAGGAGCCCATGAGGAGTAAATACGTGCATGGCAAGCCATACACAATGGCACAGGCTGGACCGTTACAAGAGCCATATTATTCGGTTGCATAACGCGGCGACAAGCTCAGCGATGAATGGGATGGATGGAACTGGCATTGGGTTAGGATATTTTGGGCAATGACATTACCATTGGAGTTTGGTCAAGAGCTTGGATATGAGATACGAAGCATCAAGGACATATACACCGGACATCTTATACGATATGGAACCAGGACGTGGTCGACAAATATCATGCTTGAGCGCAAAATAGTACAGTCAGCACAGTGAGCACACCGAGACAGAATATAATGATGTGAACTGTATGGAGAATCTTCTATCAGGAGGTGTCGTCATCAACACCAAATTGTCTTTTTGTATCCATATCCGGATGGGAATCTGAGCTCATTCTGGTAAAGAGCATGACGACGAACAGGGAATTTGGACGTGGAAGTGGACCGGACCTGACTACTAAGCCGTGAGTGGTTAGGCGTCACTGGAGGCTCCGTAGGTACTAGGGATATAAGTTTCTGGTAGGGCCAAAAGAGCCGACCACGAACAAGACAAGGCGATTGGCGATGAGGATCGATTGGCCGTGGTGGGCGACAGCCGGGGAAACTTTGTACTTGTACTTGGATTGGAAGATGGAGGAACGAACATGTGCCATTTGCTCAGAGGCGCGTTCCACCACCAACAAGCCCAATGACGTAGGTAGGTAGATGCATGCCACACACTAACTAACGGGGTGGGAGAGAGCAGCATTCATCACTCCTACTCAAGCACACATCCAGCATTCTTCTCACTCCTTGTTCTGTTTCAAAGCTCAGAATCCCTTTCCTTCTCTCATACCAAGTCCCATCCTCGCAACCAACTGCTCCCTCGTGTCTGACTCTCCACACCCTCTTCGATATGCCCACCCCAGGGTATGTCTTCCGCGATGGCGGCGACACGCCAGCGGAGGAGAAGCCTGATCCAGAGTTTCGCCAGCCGAACACCCAAGCACCAAAACCTCCCGCAGTGACCGCCAACGCTCCCCTGGCCCAGAACACCACCACAAGTCACCAATTGGCGACGGGAGCGACGGGAGACCATGAGGTCCAGGGCGCAGTTCAGAGGGCCGGTAAGGAGGACAGAACAACTAATCTAGGATGGCAAGCCAACGCTGTGGGTGTAGATAACTTGGTCGGAGGCCTTCCCAACGACGAGCTGTGGACGCTCATACGCAGATTCAATAAGGCAAGTATTCTAGGCTGCGAATGCTTCGAATCTTCCCCAGTTGAGACGAACACTTACTGAGCATTGCTAGCAAATGTACCATGTCAAAGCCATCCCCCAGGCTCCTCCGGGAGGATTGGACCTCAACACTGCCGAAGACGAGGAATTCTCCCCGGACAAACTTCGCTCGAACATTGAGCGTCTTTACATGACCGTCATTGTCGGGCTGATTGCTTTTGGAAAACATATCGCAAGATTGAGGTCGTGGCGCGAACCCCGTCGGACGGCTTGTTTTGCCGTCGTTTACTTCGTGGCTTGGATCTTCGACCTGATTGTGCCCACCTTACTTACCACGATCATCGTCCTCATCACCGTCCCTCAATCGCGGAACATCTTGTTCCCTCCGGCGCCCCTTGCTCTGGTCAGCCACAAGTCGGGTGGTGTGCAGAAACCAGGGGCTGGTGTGTTGGGGAGCCACGACAGTGTTACTGGAGCTCCTGAGAAATACAAGGGCGAGGCGGTTGAACAAGAAGCTAGTAACTTGGTCTCGGGTATTGCGTCTGTAGCCATCTCCAGCGCTGCTGGTCGACATGATCAAGCGAGTCCGGACGAACAGGGTGGCAGCAAGACTCTGGACCAAGGAATGCCCGACCCGACCAAGATCGCTACAGCCGCCGCGGATGCTTCTTCGGCTGCTCAAGGCGGAGATCCCGATGCCGTTCAGGACAAGACAAAGAAACCCATGGAGGACGCCGTGTGGAAACAAGTTCGACCCATCATGCATGGTATCGGAGAGGTCTCCGACATGTGGGAACGTCTCGCAAACGCCTTGTCACCTACTCCGCCCTTTTCGCAAAGAAACCGTCTCCAGCTCGGCGCGATTTTTGTGCCAATACTTCTGATCTCCTTGGTCACACCAGCCCAATGGGTCATGAAGGGATCGACATTCTTCGCCGGCTTTGGCTTTTTCTCGGATCCTTTGATCAGACGCGGCGTTCAATTGTTGAATGAGAAGATTCCAGATTGGCCGAAGTACCTCGAGATCCGGAACACTCTCCTCAAGGGCGTACCGACAAATGCTCAACTTACCATCACTTTACTGCGCATTGGCGAGGCAAACCGTGCTCCACTGCCACCACCACCAAAGTCATCTCAGCCGCCGCCGGACAAGCCCGCCGACATTGACAAGCATGCAATCACTGAAGGAGGACTCGACGCGTCACATTCCGAGATTGAAGATGTCATCACCGTCGATCAGCCTAGTGGTACCGAAGGTGCAGAGACTCCAGAACCGAAGAAGAAAAAGGGCGGAATCGGCGCCAAGATCTTGTCCGTATTCAAGACCAGCACGGCCGGTGCAGTCGAGACTAAACTGACGACTGACGCCGTTCGAGCCACCATGGGCTCCGGCCACGCAAAAGAGAAGTTGGGCGTGCTCCCATCGCGGGCAGAAATGAAACGCAAGCCGAGGGAAGGCCCCGTGGAATTCCGGGCGAGATACCACGGTCGCAAGGGCGCCGTCTACATTGACAGCTCCGTCTCACCTCCGAGTGGCCGCCGACCGGCGTCGCCGTGCGTCTACTTCACAACACATCTCGACGACGACGAAACTGTGGAGAGCATGCCTCGCGACCCCGATTGGGCGGTACCCATTGCGGACATCGTCGAGGTGAAGAAAGTCGGCGGCCTGGGATGGAAGGGCAAGATTGTGGTCGGCTGGGCGACCGAGAGGGAAGTCAAGGACGGCATCGAGATCGTCGCCAAGGACGGCTCCGTGTACCGCGCTATGGCCATCAAGGAGCGAGACGAGCTGTTTAACCGGCTAGTGTCCATGGGCCAGCAGGTCTGGGAGAGTCATTAAATGGAGATGAGACGGAGAGAATCCCTGTCTTGCGCTGGGAAGAAGGTTCTGGTAAAGAGAAATGGGAAATGATGCTGTCTGTCTGTTTCATGCATGTACGAGTATAGCCACAACGAAAGGAATTCCAGAGCTGACCAACCTTTTATCGTTATCAATGATATCTCCCTCCTTTCCCCTCTGGCCCCCTTCCCCTCTACTGTGCTGCCCTCCCCCTTCCCACGCCGTGAAAAATATCAGATACGATGGTGATATGTTTACCAGCATAGGCTCCACGGCCATGCTGGCAGCAGGAGAAGTGTCTGGTGGCGTCCATGAATATTCATTAATTGATGGGCCGGCCGGAACACAAAGAGGCGATGGGCCACCTCAGCCTCGCCCCTGACTTCCAGCTAAAGCTTATAGCTAAGCTAAGCTCAGCTCAGCCAACCCTATCTATAATAGGCATTACAGGAGGGACAAAGACTCGAAAGAACGAAGAAACAGCCCAACCAAACTCCGCTACTAAAGGCCAAGCTTGGACCTTTTTTTCATTTTTATGAAAACGCCTTGGTGACGTGGTCACACCAGTCAAACAGCTTCTGTGCCTCGCCGTCGTCCTTTTGCGCCTGGGCAACCAAGTCCGGGCGGACAGACCCCCTGCGGCCCCAGGGGATGATGTACCCGCCTTGGTCCGTCTCCAGGGTCAAATCGGGGGACAGACCGGCGTAGATCTCGGTGTAGGCGCCAAAGATGACCGGGTAGAGGAGCAGTTTGTGTAGGATCCAGAGGGCGAGTTTGGGCCATTGGTTGTTGGCGTGGCGTTGGAGGTCCGAGGCTAGGTTGCCCGGGTTGTAGGACTGGTTGGTAACTCACTTGTTAGTTTCTTGATCGCAGATAAGATACAACACAATCCATGTAGTGGAAGCTGAGACTAACGGGGCGAAATAGGGGGGCAAAGAGGAACTTACGTTGTGCAAAACTCCATCCCGCGCACCGTATCGTTTGCCAAACTCGGTGCCGAAGAAATAATTGGCGGCCTTGCTCACTCCATACGTATACATGTTGGGGTGGGTGTCATCCAGTGTCTCTGCGCCGTCGGCACCTTTCTTCCACAGCATCCCGTTTGTCGGACTCTGCAGAACCACGGCAAGACTGCCCGCCCAGCTAACCCTAACGGTCCCCTTAGGTTCGGCCTCTGCTGTTCGCCTCAGGATGGGGAGTAGGAGTTTTGTGAAGAGGAACGGGCCAAGGATGTTTGTTTGGTACGTCAAGTCCATGCCTTGGGCGCCCTTGGAGCCCACCGGAGGGACCATGACGCCGGCATTGTTATCCAGCCAGTGCAGCTTGTCCTCACGAGACAGAAAGTCCTCGGCGCTGGCTTTGATAGTGCTCAGGTCGGACAGGTCTAGGAACAAATATTCGAGTTTGCCTTGAGACTTGGGGTGTTCTTGTTTGATCGAGTCGATGGCGGCTAGAGCCTTGGATTCTGTGCGCGCGGCGATGTAGACTTTGGCATTGTGTGAGTAGAGGATGCTGGCGACTTGATATCCAACCCCGGTATTGCTCCCTGTAATGAGGTAGACTTTGCCCGTTTGGTCGGGGAGGTTCTTCTCCGTCAGAGTTGGAGCGGGCAGTCTAAAGGACTGAGAACAGAGGGCGCGCAGTTTGTACATGTTTTCGGAGGTGACGTTCACAGGGCTCAGGATTGCTTGGTATGGGTTGTCTTGTGCACAGAGAAATCAATCGCTTTTCTGGCAAAGTATCTACTCAAAGTACCGAGTAGTTGCGTGGGTGTCTCGCCCCGGAGGTGGGTGAGGAGGACGAAGGAAAGAAATACGAGGTGTGGAAAGGGTGATTGGAATGTCCCTCACAGACAGTTCGAGGGATGTACTTTGGACTTTATATTTTGAATGGCTTTCTAGGCATGTGAGATGTGATCCTGGTCGAATGACGCCTCATATTATGTATTCTAGCGGGCTGGGTATGGACATCGTCGGAGTTGAACCACATCAGGAGGTCGGCTCTGCAGCAAGTATTAGGAGAGACGGGGACCCATGTCTGGATTTGGTTTCGGGGTTGCTCCGTAGACCAGGGTTTGTAGGGAATGCAGGACATTGAATGCACAGGCACCGATGATCATGGTGTATATGTGCGCAGTAGTGGATCGAGAAATTGCCGTGGAGACAAAGCGTGTGAGGGCGCTCGTACGAGTAGTCGCAGGGTGTGAAGGAGTAATACCGACTAGGATATCAAGCAAAGGAAAAAACTGGGAGCCAATCCAAGCAGACATGTCAGTATCATGCATTAGCGTTGAGCTTGATTTTAAGAGTTGGTGGCAAGGCACGAGATGGGCGATCGCTGTTTTCAGTTAAAGGCACCAATAGTGTTGCGGTGCGGCGGGTGGGTTCAAGGGGGCCTGAGGGGCTGGCCACAGTTGCTGCAAGCCCCCGGCGTTAAAACTGGGGGTGCCTGGAGAAAGCACGGTCGTCTTCGGCTGAAAGCAGCGGATGAAGCTGATTTGCAGACGACGACTGGGTAGAAATTGAAATAGAACAAGATTTGCTCCTCTTCACAAAGAAATACTGATGCCTAGATGCATGTCTTCGGTATGATGAGGGACATAATTTTGCATTACTAGTGCTATACATCTTCTAGACACGCGCTGCAAGAGGAGGGCACACAGATCATGCCGTGATCAGTCCAATGTCAACGTCTTCCCAATGTCTAAAACACCAATTTCTTCTCCCCATTTCAAGCCCGCCTCTTCGGCAGCCATCTTCCAGTGCTTCACCGGGGTGCGGACATCTTCGTAATACTGAGACAAACCGCCACGGACGGTCCCCCAATGCATCCCAACTGACCTCCTGCTCTTCACGTCTTGGTGTATGCGAATAGAGTCCCATGAGTTGGCATGGACGTTAGACATAAAGTTCCTCGGCTCACAGAGCCCAATTGGCAAGAGGGAAAGGTCGAACGGTCCCAATAGGTTGCCAATCTGCTTGAAAGCTGGACATGCAGGCTGGGTGTCTTCTTCCTCTCGGGACATGTTCATGGAATGAATCGATCGATAGGCGGTATCTCCAGCAAAGTAAATCTTTTTGCCAGACCCTTGCAGGTCCTGGATAGCGTACGAACACCACAGGTCGTGGTTGGCGTCCAATAGACTGCGTCGTGAGAAGTGCTGTGTGGGTGTACATGTGATGCGAGCCTTGCCGACACCCTCGACGTCGATCTCGACCCCCTCCCACCAGTCCAGCTCGGTGATGGACGAGTGGTCGATTCCCATGGGTGTCAGCCAGCGCGAATTATGCAGGCCCACGAGAAAATGAACTTTTGATCTCCTTCTAGCCCAGATCGCCTTCAAAGTCTCGGCATCGGCGTGATCGTAATGGTTGTGGCTGATGATGACGAGGTCTATCTCGACCGCGTCAAGCAGCTCCTCCAACGTACACGGGGTGGGGGTATATCGCTTCGGTCCAAACCATGTAAAGGGCGACGTTCTCTCTGAAAAGACCGGGTCGCAGAGGATGTTGATGCCTCGTGGAGCAGACTCCTCCTTGAACGTCTGTAGCAAGAAACTGGCATGGCCGATCCACGTCACTTTTGGGCCCGGATGAGGAATGGTAAAGTCGACCTTCTGCACAGGGACCAGCTCGGAGCGGTCAGTGGGAACTGGCGCAAACGGTGGGCGATCTCGCCCAAAGCGAACTTTAATGATATTTCCCAGACCGTGGTGGCTGGGGTTGAATGAGGGCCACGGGTTGTGAAAGGCGTGAGGCGGGTTGCCGACGTGATGGTCTTTTGGCTCGTCCGGGAGAAGTGAGGGAAGTCTTGTGATTGAGACCATCGTGAGCCTCTCGAGCCACTCAAGGCTATTGATTCAAATGTACAGACTATGAATACTCTGTAGAGAGGTGATGTGGCTGGTCTGTCGGACTCGGATTCATCCGCATTTGCGCCACGGCGCAGTCTTGAATCATCACCCCGGCCGCGCATTCCACGGTCCAAAAACATCCATCCCTGCTGTGGCTGGCCATGTTTTCTGATTTCTGGACTGCACGGCGGACATCTGCCGACGCATCCTTTAGCAAGTCAATATGATCTGCCTCAGATACCCAAACGTTTCCCATCCTTCGATTCATGATTCGCGCAAAGCATATGTCGGGGAGATGGCAAAGGGGTGACGAGTGAAGCCAGCTACTTGATCCGGCATCCTTCGCTTCTCTGACGACCCCGCGTCAAATTCTCATCGGCATCAATCAGTCCAGTTCCGACCTCATTGATTCATGAGCCGGTAGATAAATCGTGGTAAGTCCATCTGTAGAAATTTGAGTAGAGCCCTACTTTGCACTCTATTCTGAAGAAGCACCCTCTGCGTGCGAATCCGACATCAGATCCACCACCTCTCTCCCCACAGCACAGCGACCAGCGACATCAATCATGGTCCCTCCACTGATCACTCTGGAGGAGCATTTCTTCTCCAAAGCTGTCCTCACGGACTTTGCGGGCAACTACGCAGAACAGCTTAAACACGTCCCGCACCTGAAGGAGAAGCTCGCCGACTTGGGCGAACTCCGTTTGAGCTCCATGGACGCAGGCCAGGTCTCGCTGCAGATCGTCTCCCATGCGCCTGGAGGCATGTCGGCGTCTCGATGCAAGGCGGCCAACGACCAGCTCGCCGAGTCAGTGAAGAAGCACCCCAACCGCTTCGCCGGCTTCGCGGTCCTCCCAATTTCGGAACCCGTAGCATGCGCCACCGAACTGACCCGGTGCGTCAAGGAGCTTGATTTCGTCGGCGCCCTGATCGACAACCACACCACGGACGGCACCTACTTCGACGGAGAAGCCTACCTGCCCATGTTCCAAGCAGCCCAAGACCTCGACGTGCCCATCTACCTACATCCGACCTGGGCCACCCAGGAGGTGACGTCGCTGCTGTACACGGGGGACAACATCCCCAGCGAGGCGACGACATCGCTCTCCTCGTCCGCGTTCGGGTGGCACTCGGACGTGGCGGTGCA